GCGCTCACCGTCGACTCCGGAACTCCACCAGAACGAGCGGCGGTAGCGCAGTCGACGGGGGAGCCACGGCCATCGATCCCGCGCCGTCTGGACCCCAGGTAATTCGATCCAAGATACTTCGACTTCAGATAGCGTAGCTGAAGTTGCGTATCTTGGATCGATCCCCCCCCCCAGTGTAGACCAGCCCTCACTCGCTCATTTTCACCGGGCTGGGGAGGCTCTCTTTTTGACTGGGTGTTCAGTTGAAAACTGGACACCGGGCAACACTAGATGGATAGACTAATCACTGTGTATGTCAAGGAAATTATGTTACCAATCAGCTAAGAATATACATACTCTGTCTGATAACAGTTACAGGGCCAAAGTCCCTAGTGATTAGTTTATTTTATATCTCAAGCAAGTTTGGTCAATGCCTATGGTACTTGTGACCCAAGATGAACTAAAAGAGGAAGTAGGAGGAGCAAGAGGTTCTGTTATGGTAGATTATGTTTGGCCTGACCCTAGAGTAGAGATACTTTAAATTCTATCAGTGCCCTATATGCAGTTGTTTCAAGAGCCCTGATTTCTGGGGCTGAACCCACAACTTGCACTTGTTGCTACATTTTTATTCACTCTACAGTTTGGCCATTATCAGCTGAGATGTTTATGTATATGCTGTACCCCCAGAAAGCTCATCCAAGGATATTTTTATTTGCTGTATTCTGAAACTTTTTATCAGCCCTAATTTCTGTTCTGACCTAGATTACATCCACATAATAAATGCTGGTTTCAGTAATGCCTTATGTATTGTTGATGTCAGGGATACTGTTGTCGGAGACATCTAGGGAAAAACACCCATGGAAGTATTTCACATCGGCGTTTTGATAAATGTATTAGCAAGGCACTACTTTTCACTGTTTTCAGAGAGACCCTGTCTGTCTGTCCCATGGTATTTGTAAAGTTCCCATCACAGTATCTAGCTGCCCACTCTCACTGGTGATTCTGTTTTAGTTAGGAACAAAGGATGGAGCATTTAGCAAATGCTTTTAAAACGGCTTAGGCTATTGAAGGAAATTATGTTGTACTTTACCTTAGCATGAAACATGTTGGTGGAACTAAGTCCAGGTAACGTGGCACTATAAAACAGCAGACCTCTATCCCCAACCCTTACCCACAACACTAGCCCTCCCCTTCCCTCGTCAGAGAGCAAAGTTCAGTATACCTGCAGGCTCAGAGATCACATGCAGTCCTATTTGTAGCACAGCAATGAGCAAATGTTTAGTAGATCATTAGCACATGGTGGGAGGGGGGAAGTCTCAAGGAGAGAGTTGTGCCTGAGGCATAACTCTGCTAAGTTTCCTTGTATCAAAAAGCTATTTGTGTCAACTCGCTGCAGGATTCTAAGTTGACCAAGTAAGCAGGGGGGAATCTTGGCCTCCTAGCTGTTCTGTGTTGGTTTAGTTGTGCTCTGAGCATGTCCACTAGATTGTGAATCCTGCCAGGGTTTAGGCATGGATTAGGTGCTAAACTGCCTGGCAGTGCAGGATTTAGGTAGCTCAGGTACCTAGCTAATTTAGTCACCTACAGGGTCTGCAGGAGAATGGTACTCAAGGGGAATGAGCTTGGGGGCTGAGTGCTCTATACTGGAGAGGGGGAAAGACTTAAAAGGCAGCCCAGACAGATGATGAGAACAGGGCCCAGAAGGCAGACTGAAGAAAAGCCCATGAAACATGGAAGACCTTCTCGTTTGTTGGGACTTTTTAGTTGGTTTGTGACTTGGCTGGAGGGCCAACTCACATCTCCAGCACTGGCCCATAAATTGGAGTTTATTAAGGAGTCCAGAGAAATTGAGGCACAGTGCTGCAGAGCCACCGCTGACCCCAAGGAGGTGCTTGGGAGGTGGCTGACCCTGTCACATGGCAGTCAGATGCCTAAATCCCCCTTGTGACTCCCACCCCAAGAGAATTAGATCTGCTGAGCTTAATTTGTGGAAACTTTACATCTCAGTGTATAAACCTAGGGTAGTCTGCTTCCTAAATCCCTTCTCTATCAGATACTACAGTGTCACAGCTCTGCCATTACTGTGATTTATTGTTGCTCCAGATAAGTGGAGATAACGAATGCCATGAAGAGGTTTTCTGCATAGCAACACAGAACCTGATACTCTCTGTCTGAGCTGAGAAGGATCGTGGTTGTTGTAGCCTTTGTGTTGGAAGTGTAAAGGAATTGCTGGACCAGTGTGGTTTGTGTTTATCCGTCTGCAACAAAATCTCCTAGAAATTCCATGACAGAATCTTTTACCTGGGCATGTGCTGATCGGGATCCACTTGGATTATTACATTCAGCACAAGTTAGATCTTGCATTCTTTTCCCCTTGCATCACAGAAGCAGCTGCATTTTATTGCTGGGTAAAGTGTCTTCTATTTTTATAAGATCAAATCCCAAGGTTCTTGTTTCAATTTTAGTCAGCCCCAGGAATTTGAGTATGGCTTTAGTAAAATTTGAGTAGGCTTCAAGATTTAGTTGAGTATTAATATTTTGCATTTATTTAGCAGCTTGCATCTGAGGATATCAAAAAATTTTATAAGCATGTATTAATTAAGCCTCACTATGTGGTAAGGAAGTATAATTATCCCCCTTCTGCAGATGGGGCACAGAAATGACCTGTTCCCTCCCAAGCTCACAAATAATGTATGTGAATGAAGTATTATCTGTTTCACGGAGGCTGAGCAATATGACCAAGTCCTTTGGACTAACCCCCATTAATGCTGCCTACCAAGCCTTTTTGCTGTTTGTGTCATACATGTACTGTAGGGTATTAATAAACACTTAGCTCTTCTCCAGCACTTTCTCTGTTCCAAGTGCTTTACACATATTTATTAATTGGCCAAGTGAAGCAAGACACTAGACTCAACTTGATGGCATTGTCCCTGAAATGGAGGGGGGTGGGAAGGTAGCACACACAGAGCTTGGGGGGAGAATGGAAGGATGCAAGGAGTCCATGTTGTGCACAATGAGCTCTGCTGACAGAAGCAACAAAGATTACAACCCTCTAGTTAAATCTCACAGCAACCCTATGCGGTAAGTAGTTAGAATTATCCCTGTTTTACACAGGGCCGCCCGGGGGGGGCGCAAGTGGGGCAATTTGTCCCAGGCCCCGGGGTCCCCACGAGAATATAGTATTCTGTAGTATTGCAACTTTTTTTATGGAAGGGCCCCCCAAAATTGCTTTGCCCCAGGCCCCCTGAATCTCTGGGCAGCCCTGGTTTTACAAATAAGGATGCTGAGGCAGAGAGGTTAAGTGACATGTCTATGGCCACAGAGGGAGTCTATGCCAGAATTAAACATTTCCTAATTTCCAATCCTGTGGTTCTAAGCACTTGCCCATGACTCTCCACTACCCCTCCACAACTACCTTCCAAGGAGGGTGTTATACAATTGCCTGAATTAGAGGATCTTTCTTTTAAAGGGAAGATTTAAGGCTCTTGTTCATAACCCCAGTGACTGGATCACAAAGTATCTGGCTGAACAGAAAAGACAAGAACATCTTTTGTTTTAAACCTCAAACAGTCTTATCTACTGAATACAAAAATAAATAAATTTATAAATAAACTCCCAAGGCAGGGGATCTTTAAAAGTATAATCACCTGTACAAGAATACTCATCTGCCTGATTTTATCAGAAACTCAATGCAGAACAGTCTACTTTAGTGACTGGAACAACTGTTTTCCCTCTGTTGCTTATCTTCCAGTAAAGAAAGACCAGGTGGGGGAGATAATAGCTTTTAGTGGACCAACTTCTGTTGATGAGAGAGACAAGCTTTCGAGCTACACAGAGCTCTTCTTCAGGTCTGGGAAAGGTACCCTGTCACAGCTAAATACAAGGTTGAACAGCTCATGTAGCATAAGTACTTAGTACATATTCTAAGGGACCATGCAAGGTGAAGTGGCCCAATAAGGCATAGCAAGAAGCTATATTGACACTAATGTAATGACTTCAAACTCACCTTGATCATATGGGTGCAGTTAATGGCTGAGCCGCCTCTAACACACAATACATTGGGAAGGATGTTGGCATCAGTGAAGGCTGCGCTCATGTCATTACACTTGGCCTGTTCTTGCTCAGAGATAGTGCACCACCTCACATGCTGCAGGCTCAGAGCTGAAACAAAGCACCACAGAAAATCTCTATTATCAAACAATGCCTTTATAACTGCGCTCCCTGCATACTGATTACAGAATGGCCAGACCACAGAAATCCATGGCCTGTTCAAAGCTATGGCCTTAGGGCCCACTCCTGTTTTCATTCAAATCAATGAGAGTTTTGCCATTGACTTAAATGGGAGCAGGATTGGGTCCATCTCTCATATTGCCACATGCTGATATAGGCGCTGCATGCACAACAAAGCAGATAAGTACATACAAAGAATCCACAACACCTATGAGAATGATACAACCTTGTTTCCTGTGTATTTTATTTATTCAATCTCCACAGTTCCCTTAGTTGTGTGGCAAGAAGTTGAGCTTTGATGTAGCTAGCACAGTCCTACTCTGAGGACCTTCTACGATTTGTTAACATGAAACTGCTAGAGATATTGAAAATTATCAGCAGTAAAATTCAGTCACTTAAGACATGGTGTCTTGGGTTTATGTAACTTTTTATTATCATGAAGAAAAGAAAGTACAAAAATATCCATTTAAATTACATACAGAGCAAGAGTGGTAATATTTAGAATGAAGCATTTGGCCTGAGAGCTGTTGCATCCATCTGTCTGTAGAATCACTATGAATCTGGGGCAAATTCAGAAGGTTTTATCCTCAACCTTAAGAGCTGGAATAATTGTTTAAAATTACACTGGGCAGCAAATGGCTCCCACAGAGAAGTCCCAGTCTAGCATAGCACTATGTACTGGCTTGGGTCAAGCCCAGTCCCTTTAGCTGCTTAAACAAACAAACAATCCCTGATGCTCAGAGACCATGGCATAAGAATTGGAAGAGAGCAGAAGAGAAAAGTTGCTCCCATGATACTGCACCATAAGAGGCCTTCACCCCAGTCACTCAATGAGATATACAAATAAATACATGGTAACAAGTCAGACATGGTAGATTTCAGTTACCAACGAAGGAAACTGATCTGGCAATCTAAACTGTACCTGCAAAAACTGCAACACTGTTGTTTGGGTAAACAGATATTCGCAAATGTAAATTGGGTAACTGTACATACAAACGAGCATATCAACTAATCAATAGCTACAACCAGGTTTTGTACATGTAGCTGGCTTATGTGCCTTATTCACAAACAAAAATTCAATATACACTTTTACAATTTTGACTTTTTATGGACCCGGGTCAGGGTTTGCTCTCATCCGCTTGCTACTTGAGGCCGCCTCCCTTTTAGCCTCTCTCCAAACCTAATTTAGCTTGTACTCATTCACAGTGGCGGTACAGTTGATAGCCTGTATCAGACTTTGCTGCCTTTGTTGAGGCTATCCCACCAGCACTCAACAGGCAGGGACTAGGACACATTTTCCAGTTTGAAAAACTCTGGGTGCTGTAAATCAAACAACCTCACTATTGCCATAAGCTTTGCACCACACCAGTCACTAAAACAGAGAGCCTGATTTGACCTACACCACTGTAACTCAGGAATAACTCTACTGATGTCCGTAGTCTAAAAGCAATGATGACAGTAATTTTACTTAAGTCACTAGAAAAAAAGACCCAGAAACCTGACATTTCTCAACCAATTTTTAGACCAACATGCATTACTGAAGAGAGAAGCAAGCTTCTCATGAGGCCATTAAGCTATAGGAGGTCTGAGACCCTAAGAACATAAGAATGACTATACTGGGTCAGACCAATGGTCCATCTAGCCCAGTAGCCTGTCTTCTGACAATGGCCAATGCCAGGTGCTTCAGAGGGAATGAACAGAAGTCTTAGCCCTCGTCTACACTACGAGTTTAGGTTGAATTTAGCAGCGTTAGATCGATTTAACCCTGCACCCGTCCATACGACGAAGCCATTTTTGTCGACTTAAAGGGCTCTTACAATCGATTTCTGTACTCCTCCCTGATGAGGGGATTAGCGCTGAAATCGACCCTGCTGGGTCGAATTTGGGGTAGTGTGGATGCAATTCGACGGTATTGGCCTATGGGCGCTATCCCAGAGTGCTCCATTGTGACTGCTCTGGACAGCACTCTCAACTCAGATGCACTGGCCAGGTAGACAGGAAAAGCCCCGCGTACTTTTGAATTTCATTTCCTGTTTGGCCAGTGTGGCAAGCTCAGAGGTGACCATGCAGATCTCATCAGCAGAGATGACCATGGAGTCCCAGAATCGCAAAAAAGCTCCAGCATGGACCGAACGGGAAGTACTAGATCTGATCGCTGTATGGGGAGAGGAATCCGTGCTATCAGAAGTTCCAAAAGACGAAATGCCCAAATATTTGAAAAAATCTCCAAGGGCATGAAGAACAGAGGCTATAACAGGGACTGAGAGCAGTGCCGCATGAAACTTAAGGAGCTCAGGCAAACCTACCAAAGAACCAGAGAGGCAAACGACTGCTATGGGTCAGCACCCCAGACATGCCGCTTCTATGATGACCTGCATGCCATTCTAAGGGGTGCCCCTACAACTACCCCACCCCTGTGCGTGGACTCCATCAATGGATTCTCATGCAACAGGGATGCGGATTTTGGGGACGAGGAAGATGATGATGAAGAGGAGGAGGTTGAAGATAGCGCACAGCAAGCAAGCGGAGAAACCGTTTTCCCCAACAGCCAGGAACTGTTTATCACCCTAGAGCCAGTACCCTCCCAAACCACCCAAGGCGGGCTCCCGGACCTTGAAGGCGGAGAAGGGACCTCTGGTGAGTGTACCTTTGTAAATATAATACATGGTTTAAAAGCAAGTGTGTTTAATGATTAATTTGCCCTGAAGACTTGGGATGCATTCACGGCCAGTACAGCTACTGTAAAAGTCTGTTAACGTGTATGGGGATGGAGCGGAAATCCTCCAGGGACATCTCAATGAAGCTCTCCTGGATGTACTCCCAAAGCCTTTCCAAAAGGTTTCTGGGGAGGGCAGCCTTATTCCATCCTCCATGGTAGGACACTTTAGCACCCCAGGCCAGTAGCACGTAGTCTGGAATAATTGCATAACAAAGCATGGCAGCGTATGGTCCTGGTGTTTGCTGGCATTCAAGCAACATCCGTTCTTTATCTCTGTGTTATCCTCAGGAGAGTGATATAATTCATGGTCACCTGGTTGAAACAGGGGAATTTTGTTAAGGGGACATTCAGAGGTGGCCGTTCCTGCTGGGCTGTTTGCCTGTGGCTGAACAGAAATCATCCCCGCTGTTAGCCATGTGGTGGGGGGAGGGGTGAAGCGATCATCCCAGAGAATTGTGTGTGTGTGTGGGGGGGATTAGTTGGGTTTGTGCTGCATGTTAACCCGAAAACCGCAGCCCCCTCCTTTTAAATGGCCAACCCAACGGGTGCTTGGTATGGGAAATGAGGGCACTGCTGTATGAAACCATTCCCACATGTTATGAAGGTTAAAGAAGCCAAAAGACTGTGGTTTACCATGTCTGCCTGCAAGTCGAATTCTGTTGCCCGCCGGCCCTGCGTGTGTGATCTCTCACACCAAACCAGCAGACCCTCAATATAAGAGGTAAAATGAGACCTTGTAAAGAAAGCACATGTGCTATGTAATGTTAACAGCTTGGTTCACCATGAATGAGTCTACCCATTGTTCTCTAAAATGTGTCTTTTTAAATACTACTCTCCCTTTTTTTCCTCCCGCAGCTGCAAATGTTTTAATGTTCCCCCATCATCTCCGTCCCAGAGGCTAGCCAAGATTAGAAGGTGAAAAAACGCACTCACGATTAAATGTTCTCTGAGCTCATGCAGTCCTCCCACACTGAAAGAGCCAAGTAGAATGCGTGGAGGCAGACAATGTCAGAGTGCAGGAAAGCACAAAATGAACGCGAGGACAGGAAGGATGCGTAAGAGGACAGGTGGCGGGAGCAAGATGATAGGTGGCGTCAGCGTGATGAGAGGAGGCAGGAAGCAATGCTGAGGCTACTGGAGGATCAAACGGATATGCTCCATCATATGGCTGAGGGGCAGGAAAGGTAGCAGGAGCACAGACCACCGCTGCAGCCCCTGTGTAACCAACTGCCCTCCTCCCCAAGTTCCATAGCCTCCTCACCCAGACGCCCAAGCACGCAGTGGGGGGGCCTCCAAGCACCCAAGCACTCCACCCCAGAGGACTGCCCAAGCAACACAAAGCTGGCATTTAATAAGTTTTGAAGTGCAGTGTGGCCTTGTCCTTCCCTCCTCCACCACCCCAGCCAGTTCTTCCCTCCTCCCCCACCCCTCCTGGGCTCCCTTGGCAGTTATCACCCCATTTGTGTGATGATTTAATAAAGAATGCATGAATTTGAAACAACAATGACTTTATTGCCTCTGCAAGCGGTGATCAAACGGGGGAGCGGAAGGCGGTTGGCTTACAGGAAAGTAGAGTGACCCAAGGGGGTGGGTTTTCATCAAGGAGAAACAAACAACTTTCACACTGTAGCCTGGCCAGTCATGGACCTGGTTTTCAAAGCTTCTCTGATGCGCAGCGCGCCCTGTTGTGCTCTTCTAACCGCCCTGGTGTCTGGCTGCACGTAATCAGCAGCCAGGTGATTTGCCTCAACCTCCCACCCTGCCATAAACATCTCCCCCTTACTCTCACAGATATTGTGGAGCACACAGCAAGCAGTAATAATGAGTCTGTAAACTGCAACAGCGCACTTTTAAACGTCCAAATGCACATTTACCACCATTCTGCACTTGCTCAGCCTATAGTTGAACAGCTCCTGACTACTGTCCAGACTGCCTGCGTATGGCTTCATGAGCCATGGCATTAAAGGATAACTATAGGCATTTCAACATCCCCAACGGTTATTTTCTGGTCTGGAAAGTAAGTCCCTTGCCGTAGCTGTTCACACAGACCAGAATTCCTAAAGATGCGAGCGTCATGTACCTTTCCCAGCCATCCCACGTTGATGTTGGTGAAACATCCCTTGTGATCCACCAGTGCTTGCAGCACCATTGAAAAGTACCCCTTGCGGTTTATGTACTGGCTGCTTTGGTGTTCCAGTCCCAAGATAGGGAT